GGACCCCAGCATCAGGCCATATCAAACTGTGCAACAGAGGTCATATCAGTCACTACGTGTTGAATATTAATATTAAAAATACAGGGCCTCTTCTGGTGGTACTGGTTCGTTCCCCGGCTGCTGGCGAGGGTCCCACCAAAAAAAAAAAAAAATTAAAAATACATGTACAGTTAACATATTTTGCTCTATCTATTTGCCATGGTGGGCCATATTATTTTACATGTAGCTTTTTCTCTTAGATAGCAGTTGATAAAAACATCAAGATTCCAATTCATTTTTCATTCTAATTAGAAAATATCTTGTGATTTTAATGCAATAGGAATTATCAGAAAAAGGATAAGCCATCGCCAAGATTTATTTTTGCTTTCTAAGCAATCACACAATGTGAAATATACTTAATAATGGAACACAGAGATCTACCTTACTAGTGGGAGATCGACCTTACAAGCATGAGTGGGAGCTATTCCCTGTAAAGCACTGGGAGGGTCAAAGCCGACTGTGCATGTGACAATCCCCCTTGAGCCAGACCCTCCACTCCTGGTTGACAAGAGGACTCCCGGCTGCCCCAGGAACAGCTGTCTGGGAAAACCAATGCAGTCAGTTACCACAGCATCAGCTCAGACACGGCATGTGGTGTGATGTGGGCTGACGGCTGTGCACGTGGCTGGTGACAGCCCCCCCTTTTCTGGGTCCTCAGGTGCCTTGTTGGAATTTATAGGGCATCTGACTTAGAAAAGTATGCAAGCATTCTAACCAACCTAGCTGGCATTCTAAAACAGGAAGGTTATTTGTGAATTACAAGATTCTTCCATGACAACTGACCCAAACAGCAACAGGGAAGTTGTCATGTGTCCTCCCTCCCCTAACCCCAGGTCGGTATTTAAGGGCCTCCCCCAGCAGAAGGGGCATCAGACCTTCCTCACCTCCTGAGTCTCTCTCCTCACCTCTCCTGAATCCTCTCTACTGACACCATGGGTTGCTGTGGTTGTGGTGGCTGCGGTGGTGGCTGCGGTGGCTGTGGTGGCTGTGGTGGCTGTGGTGGTGGCTGTGGTGGCTGTGGCGGTGGCTGCGGCGGCTGTAACAGCTGCTACAGCTGCAGGTGCTACCGGGTGGGCTGCTGCTCTGGCTGCTGCCCCTGCTGCAGAGGCTGCTGTGGGGGCTGCTGCAGCACCCCCGTGGTCTGCTGCTGCCGCCGCACCTCCTGCTGCACCCCCTGCTGCACCCCCTGCTGCTGCAGCTCTGGCTGTGGGAAGGGCTGCGGGAAGGGCTGTTGCCAGCAGAAGTGCTGCTGCCAGAAGCAGTGCTGCTGCTAGGTGGGCGGCCCTGACGGACTCTAGGGTAAGAAATGCTTGGGGCTTTACATGGAGACTTGGTAAGTCTCTCCTCCATATTTCCTGCCTGTTTCTCCTGTGCATGTGCCTCAGTGTCTTAGAGCTGCTTGTTCTGTCCCTCGTATTCTAAAGTTTTATGACTGGTTGGTTTTTATCCATCATTGTGCTACCCGAAGACATCAGCTTCTCCCTGTATCTTCTAGAACTTAGCATCAAAGAGTTATCTATTCTGTCATGTTTACCATCTTGTTTCCATCTGGAAAAAATCAATAACAAAGAACCAGCAAATATTGTCCCTAGCAGCAGCTGAGGACACAGCTGCATGTGCAAAAATCTATTGATATGAGCTTAGCAAAATGAAATCATAGTATCAAATATTTCACTTGGAAAATGACTTATGATGAAATATTTAAATTTCTTATATTGGACATTCACTAACTTCTCTTACCTTTAAGTCTGTAAAAAAAAAAACCTCTTTCTTAATAAAAGAAATCTTACATTATTCTGATGTGTCTCTTGTTTCTATAAAATGCATATCCTCTTATGGGTGAAAATAATGGTGTAAAGTAGTACAAGGTGATATATAAAGACTCAAGATAGACAATTGACCTGACACTTTTTTTATACTGGGTTTTATAGTAAAAGTAGAAATTAAATGAAAAATCTCAACCTTTGGTCATAAATATCATTGAGAAAAATTGCTGCACTCTCCTTAGCTGCACTGAAGATTTCCATCGCTGCAACCTGGTGTCAGTTTGGACAGCTGCAGTGTGGCAGGTCAGGACTTCATGTCTTTACTCTGTAATTTTTATTCATTCATTAATTCATCAGGAAATGTACACATGCTATGTCAGTTAAGCACTAGAGATCTAAAGATAAATAAACCCTTGCCTCAAGGAGTTAAAATATAAATGGGAACAAGGTCAATTCAATACAATCCCTTATGTCATTTTTTTTGGGGGGGGTCTGGTCACTTCTCCACTTCTATATCATTTATTCATATAGATTTCTGTGTACATGGTTGCAGCCAGATAGTTGAACTCCAACACAGAAACCCAAATCATTGTTAAATAAGCCAGCCAAGTGACTAGTGACTCTCTACACTGTGATTTTCTTTTTTTTTTAATGTTCCTTTAAAAAAAAAAAAAGATTTATTTATTTTTATACAAGAGCTGGGGTATAGGCCAGAGGCGTAGGACGGTGGGAGGATTCACCAGAGACAGAGTGGGGAACAGAACAGGCAGACTGATGAAATACACTGCCGAGGGGAGCATCGGGCGAGACAGGAGAAGTCTGCTCACCGTGTGGGTAGCTCCACTGCACGTCAGTTGGGGATGGAACCAGCACTGCAGAGGCTGAAGACAGCTTCACAGCACTGCACTCAACTGTCTGCACCACCAGAGAGGCCCACAGGGTGATTTTCAATGGGCTCTCCCAGCAGCATAGCTGACCACTCCCTCCTAATAACTCTCCTCCCACCCTTACCGCAACTCTGCCCTTTGCCTTCCCGGTGGGTTCCTACCCAATCCCAAAGCTCAGGTTCCATCCCTCTTCTCCATCATCCTACATCCTCATCTGATGGCTGCTCTTTTATTTTCTTCTCCTTAACCCTTCCTAATGTACCATAAAATACATGAGTTTATCACATTTATTCTACAGTTTTCGCTCTGCCTTCCCCACGTCAAACTAGAATGTACATTCTACAAAATTTTCTCACTCTCTTGGCCACTTATATTGCTCAAGCACCTAGAATAGCATCTGACACCTGCAATAAACAGCTTCACCACAAGTAAATGATATTTTAAATGTTTTTATTGTGGAAAAGGCTAATTGTATATAAAAGTGAAGAATAGAACACTAAATTCCTAAGGACTAACACCCAAGCCAACAATTATCAACATGGCCAATCGCTTGTCATCTGTGACCTCACCCACACCCCTCCACTGGGACAGGAATCAAGGACAGAATTTGCAGTTCCCACAGTTTTATTGGGCTGGTAAACAAGATGTTAAAAAAAATCTCATGACTCCATAAATTTCCTTGGTCCATAGTTTGTTTGTTTGTTTGTTTGACTAATTTTTCCTCAGCCTGTACATTCCTGAGCTATCTTTCTGCAGCTTGTCAAATTGGCTACTATGGAAGGGGCTGCAGACCCTGAGATCAGACCAGGTCAGACCAGACAGTGTGCAGGAAACATTCACCCATGAGACAGTCACGAGTGCTGCATGACCATGGAGTGGCAACTGATGGGTGCTTACAATTAGCAACAAGAAATGGGCCACACTCAGATGGACCAGTGGACCGTAGCCAAGTCCACCCTCTTTGTCATCTCAGCCAGTAAAATTTCATTCCTTCGTTCTGAAATCCCAGCTTTATAACCTACATAGGGCCCTTAGCCCTGGCACCTTGGAGAGCCTCTTTGTATCAGGAGGTCTCCCTGGGGCTCTGTTTTTTTGCTCTGTAGCTTTTCACTAAATCTCTCCTTTAACCAGTGTCTTGAGTTCCTCATTTTAATCTTAGGTTGCAGGTACTCAGTGGCCTGGGTTTCCTCTGGGGAACAGGACACCTGTTTGTCCAGCTGCCCCTGGGTTTACAGCCTGGATCAAGACTTCTTGGCTCCCGGCAGGTGAAGTGGCAGGATTTTCGCTGCAAGGGACTTGGGTGAGACACTTCCTTCCAGGTTACACTCCCCACCCTGGAGCCAAATCCACACGTCATGTCATCTCAAAATTATCAAAATTGTCAAAAAATGTGTCTACATGTCTATGAATGAACGGATTCCTCTCCTCTCTCCGGCTGAGGCTATGACTGAGAGATATCAGAGAAACATAGCATAAGCTTCACAAGGTACATCCCAGGTCATCTCTCCGGATTATGAGGAAGTCATGACACCCTTGACCTTCAACAGAGTCTCACAGTGTCCTCTGGGAGGGCCCAGCGACTTGCAATCTCTTGCACAACAGGACGGCACTCCCACAACTGGGAGCACCTGAGTAATTTCTAAGCCAACTTTCCACAAATCATAGGAAGGTGAGACAACAGAAAACCCAGACCAATAAGACAGTGACCCCAGACACCAGGGGACATATTGAGTCAACTTTATTTCTGCTAGTAACCCATACAGCCAGCAGCGTTAATCTTTAGGGAGGTCTTCTATTTCCACTGACAGATAAAAACAAAATTTTTATTCCATTTTAATCAGAACTCTTTATAATGCTTAAAATAAGCTTCCACTTGATAAAGTCTTTAAATATATGAACTCTTTATATTAGAAAATCCTCAAAGTCACCCACTCCACCATCTTTAATATATATTTTTATATAGTGATTATAAACATGCAAATATACATGTAAGTGTACACATAGTGATTATAAACAATTGCCTTGGAGCCAGGATGTCCTAATAAAAAAATCCAGACTCTACTATTTTTACTGCCTTTTGCCTCCCTCCCTTTTTTAATGCAGAGTGGGGATCATAGTGTCTCATGCCTAAGTTTTAAGGAGAAAACCTATAGGATAGGGCATATTGCAAATAGAGCAAATGATAGACCCTGCATTCAGTTCATCCTGCTTTTCCATGCTGCCCCCACCCCTGCCTGCAGCACCAGGTCCCAAAGCGGTCGGGGTAGCCTTGGGTGCTGTTTCCTGGGACTAGTTATCCAGGCATCTGAGAGCTTGGAAGAGCAGAAACCCCCTGATACAGGTAAGAATAATTCAGGAAGGTGGATTAATTTAAGAGGCAGCATCATCCCGTGGTCACCGCACATGCCCCTCACCCTGGTTTGGGGGGCGCCGGCCTACAGCAGAGGTGGGGACCCGCCTTGATTATGTCATGCAATCCGAGGTGGAGCCCTGTGCAGCCGCCTCTGAGCTCGGCCAGCCCCAGGCTGAGACTCGCCCAAACACCTTTAGCCAGAATTCTCACTCAGTCATCTGGAAAAAGCCGATTAAATAGGGCCAAGATTCTGGTAGAGCCAGTACCCCCTCTGGTTACACCCCTGCTCACAAAATTTCACTGAAAAGGAAACTTACCACAGAATTCCAAAATCAGACCCAAGAATGGCAGAAAGATGCTTGCGAGGAAAGAAGGAGACACTGAAGGTAAGAGGCCCCAGCTCTACTGTGACGTACTAAAGGGTCACACCGGGTCCTTCGCAGGCCCCCAGAAAGCCAAATTCTGAATCACGAGAACTGTCTTCACAAGTTTTATTTGAGATGGCCATCAAGGAAGTCAGCGTGGAAGGTACCCCAAAATAACCCGTTCCTGGAATGGAGGAAGTGCTGTGATAATATAAGGGGGGAGGAGAGTGCGGGATCTCCCCTTTCAGGTCGAGGAGGTGCTAGACTGTCTAGGGGGTGTGAGTCCAGGAGCTGGACTTTCCCAGCAGGGTGTTTTCCCAGCACATTTTCGTTTCTGATGCCACTTATCAACCCTAGAGGGGCACTGAGGATTTATTAGGGATGTAACACAACCAATTTTCCAAGGTCCCAGGAATGCAGGTGGAGCCAGTTAATGGTTAATCAGGAGAGGGGGGTAGAGGGAAGAGAGGACAAAGGGTGGTTACACTTTAATTCCGGTTATTCCAAATTTTTAGTCTAGAGAAGTTTTTTTGTTTTTGCAAAATGGAGGGGATCCGGCTACACTTTACTGAAATTAAAAGAAAACACAGCCATCCGCTGGAAAGGATACCAGATTAGTCCACTGATTTGTGGAGTCGGAGTGGCTGCAGTAAATGTGCAGAGTTTGAGTTTGCGCAGTGCTTGAAGTTTGTAAAGGGTGGAGGAAATCATGTTGTCTAACAATACACAGAAGCGCTTTGCTCCTACCAGTATCTGAACACATTGGTGCCTCCTAAGGCAAAAGGCACTTTAAAATAAGGTTCATGTTGTAGGTCGTCCATAACCTAACCACTAAATGTGGGGTTTTTTTGGTTTTTTTTTTTAACCTTCTTTGCTATCTTAGTAGTAGCTGATTCCATAGTCATTATTGGTAGAGACCAACAACAGTTGGTAATGGTGAGTGCAATTGGATCATAAAGATTCATGCATGAATTCCTTTGCCTGCTGCTGCTTAGCAGTTTGGGTGATGCTGTCTACTGGGTAGCTTTCTGAAATTACAGTTTCTGAACTATGAATGGCCTGCTACATCGATTCTGGTGGAATGTACAATGTTTGCCTGAAGAATTGGGAAGGAAGTTTTATTGAGCCTCTACTATGTGCAAGTAGCAGTCCCTGAACAAGCTGAAGGGGTGTGATTATCCACATTTTAGAGAAGGTTTGAGAGGTTAAGTTCTCATCACAAACAGTGTTGGGACAGGGGAAGAGGAGCTACGACTCCAAAGCTCTGTCCTTCCCAGTGGACACAGTGGACACAGCAAACCCAGACTTGGAGTAAGAAAAGAAAACCAGCCTGAGACTAGAAGACCTTCGGTGAGATGTCCAAGTGTTAAAGGTTGACTCAGTCCTTTAGTAACTATTAGCAAAGCATTTAAATTCAGAGCAAAGAATTGTAGATTATTTGGAAAGACCAGAGCTTCAGTGAATGAGAACAATATTAAAAGATAATTTGGGGGAAAGAATAAAGTCATGACTTCATGCTGATACGAAAATGAAAACACATCAGAGTTTTTGTTGTTTTTTTAACTCATCCCTGAGGAAACTGATGATACTTTCACAACCATATCAAAGTAGAATCCAAAGAATGGGTACATTTATAGATCAGGAATGTCAAATGGAGGAAAGCTGGGTTCCATGCAGGAAAGGGGAAAAGCATTGTCTCTTGACTGAATAGAATCATTTGCATGTCTATTGACAAGAATTCTTTCTCTTTGGTGTCAGTTATCAGAATTTACCCAGTCATCAAACAACTCAAAGGATGCTCAGTTTTACCTTGAAGGGCACAGTGTCCCCATGCCCACCCCCACCCCCACTCCTGGCTTTTGACCAGTTACCCACAGTGCATTTCTGTGGCTGGAAGTGGCCAACTGACTTTCTGTGGGAGCTCTGCCAGGACTACAGTTTTAATAGTCTGGTTCCTTCTGCTGCATCTGAGACTACACTGAGCTAAACTTCGGCTCACAGAGAATAAGCAGCTCGGGAGGGGATGATTGTTTTAGGCAAGTAAAAAGGAATGACGCCATAGATGATAACATGGAATCCTAAGTATGTACCAACACATGCAGTGGTTTTGACCCAACACACACCTGCTCTGGCCTGCATATTAAGTATATGGACCTAAATGAAGTTGAAATTGCTAAATTTCAGCAATGATTCCCTGATTTGGGTTTTGTTTGGTGTGGGGGGGGGTTCTTTTGGTGGGTGTGGGACATGCACAGAGAATTTCTGAGTGAGACATAGGTGATAGGGCTGCTTCCTGGTTTCTGAGGTTCTAATACAAAGTTCCAGAGCAACTAAATTAGGTTAATTTTGTTTTAACATTCAGGAGACATTTTTTGATATGTTTATTTCCCTAATTGTGTTTTAGAAAGATCTGCATCGGGTGGTCTGTTTTTTAAAAAGGGTTTTCAAAGAGGGTAGCTCCGGAAGGAGCTGGACTCCAGGGAATAAAGCCAGCCGAAGGGGTGGACTTTGGTGCATAAAACCTTTGATCTTGACAGCCCAGTTCTGAAGGAGGAGGACTGGCAACCCCAATGGGAGCACAGAGCGTTGTGACCAGGACTAGCAGCTGCTGGCACCAGGAGGGAGCTGAAGGTAGGAAACTGGATTTAGTTCTAGGAAAAAAGAAACCCAGGCTTGGAAAAAACAGGTAACTCTGAATCTCTCTGAATTATTTTCAAGAATGTTATATATGGACAGACTTATAAAGCTTGTTGACCGGCCCTAGATTTGAATTATGGGCACTGTTTCCACTCTCAATTTTCTGAGACAGACCTAATTTCAAAGATGCTGTTTTGGGTTCAGATTAAACAGAGGCCTTGCCCCCTTGTGGAATGTGGAAAAAATGACAGTAAGAGCTATCTAGAGTTGTGGAGTCATACAAAGTAAAATGTTTTGTAAGAAGGAGGATAGGATATTATTTTCTAATTGAGATATAATTTATATACATTATAAAGCATAGCTTTTAAAGCTGAGTGTTTATAATTATATACATCCATGTAATTATATCCCATTAAGATATAGGATGTTTCAACATTCCAGAAAGATCCCTCATAGGGACCGTCCCACCGACCCCACCTCATAGGTGACCACTGTGTAAATTTTATCAACAATGGTGTCATATATCTTCTTTATGCCTGGATTCTTTTTTATGCAGCATAATATTTGAGATTCATTGGTTTTATTCCATGTTCCAGTGATTTGTTCCTTTTTTAAAATCATCTTTCTGGAGGTCGAGTTTACGTGTGATAACATGTGCTATTTGTGCCTTATTATTCAATCCTTCCTCTATCTTCTATCCCAGACAACACTGATCCAATTTCTTCACATAGATTCATTTGACTTGTTTTAGGAATAGATATGAATAAAGGAACCTTGCAGACTTGTATCTGGATTCTTTGGCACAGCATAATGTTTTTGATATTCACTCTAGTGTTTGCAATAGTTGATTCCTTTCTATTACTATATGCATTTTTGATTCATTCACCTTTTAATGGACATTTCAGGTTCCAGCCATGTTTTCACTACTATGAACATTAGAACTTTCCTGTGTAATATGCCAAATGGTTTCCAAACAGCTGGTACCATTACACATTCCCACAGCACACATATGAATTCAGGTGGTCTAAATTTTTGCCAAAATTTGATTTGCCATTCTTTTGTACTTAGATGTCCTCATGATTGTATGAAGTATTCTTTGGTGGTTTTGCTTTCCAAATGTATATTTTTGATGAAATCCATTATCAATTTTTTTCAAGTTTAGTCCTTTTTATCATTTTAATAAAATATTTGCCCATTTGTCACAAAGATCTTTTTTTTTTCTAGATGTATTCTCTATGGTACTAAAGTTTCTTATGTCATTTAAATTGTGTGTAGAGTGAGGGTGAGCTCAGTATAAAAATGCATATGAAGTAGGACGAAGTCACAGTTAAAATACAGTAACTTCCTAGAAATTGGGGACACCCGCTTCAACCCTGGTTTTGTATCCGGGGACAGTAATGAAGCATTTCCTTGAATCCTTTCTCTGCCTCCCATAACCCAGGTCACCTCACCTTGTGTAGTCTGCAGCTCTTTGCTTTACCTAATGGTTAACTCAAAGTTATATTCTCTTTTATTTTACTAATATGTAGATTTAAAGGCATAATTAGTTGTTACATTCTAATATCAGGGAAAAGCAAATGTGTCACCCATCAGTAATCAAGCATGTTGTTTGTGCTTAGTGAGGGGCTGTGTTGAAAGGTGGGCTGTTTGGCAAAAACACCAAATCCTGACCCTATTGTGTTGTTTTCAGAGGGGTTGGCCCTAGGGCAGGTAGTCATTATAAATATAATTTTTCTTGCCAAAGTGCTTTGGAATTTAGAGGCTGTAAAATTCCTGGGTTTTTTTTTTTTTTTTGAAATGATCAATCTATTGTTCTTTATTTGAGCTGGCTATTTTCACTGTGGTAAAGGTTCTGGGGAATAATGTGAAAATAGCCCAGACAGTCAGGCACCCCTGAGAGGTCACTGGCAGAACTAGCGAAGAGGGGTGAACAAGAATTTGTTGGAGGTGGGATACTGAAGAGTCTCCTTCCAATGGCATATTGGTTTGCTCTGGCAGTATCTTCTAAACAAGCACAGAGACTTGATAAAATGACTGCTTTCATTGACCTGGTGCTTTATGCTCCATGATATGAGGAATCGCTGCCAAACAGGTTTGGGGAAGGGAGGGCAGCTGCTCTGACTGGGTCATCTGGTTTCCTGCCTCAGGGATCCCTACAGTCTAAAAACTTGGACTGTAGGAGGAAAATTCCATCTTCTGGAATGGTTGGAGGAATCTGATCTACTAAAGTCTTCCTTTGGTAAGAAATATGTATTTTTTTAATATTTGTGGCCATAGAGTTTTTCTGTTAATACATTAGGTGTGGATTAAGAAATTGGCCACTGTTGATGCCTGAAATTTAGACAAGGTCTGAGTGGACTTACACCAATACAGTTCCCCACATCATATGTAAATAAAATGCAAAAATAATTTGGCATGACCTTGCAACTCCCAGCAGTCATTTTTTCTTTCCCAATTAAAAAATGTTTCCCTTAAATCATAGAATTATTATGACAAGTGAACATTTGTAGTCACTATAAGAAAATTGGAATTTTCAGAGATGATATGACAAATCAAGAAAACAATTAAGATTATCATTTTAAAAAGCACATTTATAGAGAAAAGAATGTTGACTTGAAGCCAGCTGGAAAGATGTAAGGATGAGGCTAAAGAACAAGGAAGGGGGAATATCAGTGACATGGAAACAATTGGAATAAAAAAGGAGGAGAGGTAAATTATAAACTTTTGGATTAGGATTAAGGAAAAATCTATGAGCACCTTAAAATGAAGTCAGATGATTTGTACTAGCAAGGGATTGTTAATTTGAAGCATCTGCAGTATTACACATATGCTAAGAAGGGTCCTTCTGGAAAGGACCCAAACTAGAGACTGGAGACTTCATAGTGGAAGACTAAAGGGTCCTGGTGGCAAAGATGTGGATTTTAGTGAAAAATAATCAGTAGTCCTCTCGCAGTAGAAAGAGAAAGGAACACGTCATTTCTAAAGTAATTTAGATGGGTCACTTCCAGCGCCAAAGTGTGGGTGGTCTTTGGGTCAATCAAGGTTTCCCAGGCTGTGTAGTAACCCCAACTTTATCCCAAGACCACATGACATGCTACACTTATGTGCAGATGGCGCAACCGAGAGGGAGGCAGGTGCTCTGGCTGGCTGGGTGGGTGGAGCTGGAAGACTGAGACCTTCCCCGAGGCCGCCATGGTGTGAGTGAACCAGACTGATGTCAGCATTTGCCTCCTTGATCAGCTGTTGCCCTCTCTCCCCAGGAGCTCCACAGCCCAGCCCACCAAGGTAAGCTGTGTGGTGGAGTTAGCTACTCCAAGTCTCTGCTAGAAGCAGCAGCTGATCCTCCTGTTCCTTCTAGCACCTTCACTATAGATTGCAAATTATGGTAGCCTGATAGATTGACTTTTGTTTGGAGAATGTCCTTTTCTGTCCTTCTTTTAAGCTAAGGACCACATGGTGGTCCAACCTTCAAGCTAAGGTTGAGCCATTTTAGAGGTGGTGCTGGAGCATGTGAGTGAGACGTGAGAGGCAGAGCCACGGAGTGGCTTTGGAAAGGTATAACTTATTTGGAAAGCACTAGGAAGGGAAGCGACATCTTACTTTTGGAAGTGCTTGCTCAGAAAACCACAAACTCATGGCACCAAGTTAGATGCAGTGAAGCAAAGGGATATTGAAGGTGCTCTTTGGAGAAAGATGAAATTAAGGGGCATAAAATGGAATGAAAAAAGGCAGCCCATGGAAAGAAAAAAATTCCTCCTGCCTTTCTAGTTTCTTTGATTGGTCTGATAGCAAAATGACAGAGGATAGATTAAGAGGAGAAAAAGAAATTTAATCATGTATACAGGACCCCCACAAAGATATGGGGCTGATCATTAGGTAGTTGGGTTTGCATGCTATCCTGAGTCAGGGGGAAAGGGGTAGGGCCTGGGACTTCAAAAGGGCAGAAGAAAATTTCCAGAAAGATGGGGAATGCCAGTGTATGGTAGACAGTTGTTTTCTGTGCTATGGAGAGACAAGAACAGAGAAGTATTTGCACAGCAGCCTTGCTAACTTCCTCCCAGTCTATCACATTTAGCTCATAATCCTTTTAGTTCACTCTGGTGATAGCTGCTTCCTGGAACAGGCTTTCTAGCTACTTAATTCAGGCACATAAGGGAGACATAAGGAAAAGTGCTCCTGAGTCAGTTGGGGCCTCACTACTTTCAACTCAAAATAATCCACATGGCAAAGTGGCAAAGTTGGGGAGTGACCTGTTCTCAGCTGCTCTGAGTGGAAGAAAATGTTGCAGGGGGGTGTTTTGCCCTAAGGCTGTGGCCCTGCAGACAGAGCAGGTCTAAGAGGACATAAACAGGTGTGTTTATGAGGAGCAGAAGTAGACCTTGGGTCCTCTTCTTTCCTCTGCTACTTTGATGCCAGTGACAGCAGCACAGTACTAGACAATGTAGTGGTCACATGCATATATTCACACATGGATAACACACACATTTCCGAAAAAAAACAGCTGAGCTCTGAAGTTTAATTTTATATGTAATATTTTTGCTACATTTTAAAAAAATCTACTTATTTTAGCACCCATGTCTGAAAAATAATATTCTAAAATTAACTGGAACTGGAGATTGGAGGAAGGGGGGATGAAGTAGTCAGGCACTGTCAACATGGTATAAAATGTTGAACCTGCAACATGAACTTGAAAGTAGAAAAACTGAGTCCAAGCCCAGTCTCTGATGTTGGTTCAATGTGAAAACCAGCACAAATCTCATACCTCTGGTCCTCAGTTTCCCCATCTGTTAATCAAGGACAAGACCACTTTCTAGACAACTCACAAAATGGTTAAAAGTTTAATAAATTTTCAAATGTAAATAGAAGTAGAAATCACCTACGAAATCTGATGCTCAGAATCATAGGTGGAGACAGAGCAGAGCAACGTCTCCTCCATGCCAAGACAGAAAGAGCAGACAACGCCCCTGGTGGGCACAGTCGCACCATCAGCTCTGCCCACAGCTGTGCCCGGGTGGCTTGAATCGGCCCTGCGTGTGGATCCATCATCTCTGCCCGGCCCCATTGAGGGTGTTATTGACTAAAAAGAAACTGCTTTTACCTGATTTAACTAGGAGAGCAACTGGGCACCTGTCCGGGGGCACCATGGGAAGGTGGGTGGGGGAGAGTGTGCTGCGCCTCTGGGGTCCCTCCCTCCAGGCTGCCTAAGTTTCTGCCCAGGGGACTTGCTTTCCTAGAGTGAGCTTTATCTTTCTTTCTCTCTGTCTTTCTTTTTTTAAGATTTATTTATTTTTATACAAGAACCCGGGTACAGGCCAGAGGCACAGGAGGGTGAGAAGATTTACCAGAGACAGAGAAGGGAACAGAACAGGCAGATTGATGAAATACATTGCCGAGGGGAACAGTGGGCGAGACAGGAGAGGTCTGCTGCACCATGTGGGACCCTCACCGGCCGGCCAGGATCAAACCGGCGCTGCAGAGGCTGTGGACAGCTTCACAGTGATGCACACAACCTGCTGCACCACCGGGGAGGCCCAAGCATTATCTTCTTTCTGACCCACTGTCAGACTCATTGCCTCTGGGAGCTTTCTATATATTAAGCCATAATGTTTAGTGTTGGTGTGTCATAAATACTTCCTTCCCCACTGGAAGGACAGGTCCTGACGTTAATATCAGCTGATGAGGATAACTGGATGCAGATTGTGCAGAGTGGAGCAGCTGGAAGGGCCTGATGGCCTCAGGGCAACCTGGGGTCAAATCTTGACAACATGACTTGAAATCATTTTATAAACATCCATATACTCACTTGGGAAAATAATATATGCTTGCCTGTTATTATAAGGATTTAAGAAATAATATGTGGAAAGGTATCATGCACAAAGCTTTCCTATAAATTATCAGAACTTGACCACATCCAAGAGCACAAAAAGTATAAACTTTGCAGAATAAAACCCCAATCCAAAATATGAGAGGCTAACAGTCAATTTTCCTGTGCACATTGAAGCCACATGAAAAGCAAGATGCTTTCAGATACTAAATGAGTTTGCTTTGTTTTCTGTGCAGTAGCTAATGAAATCTCCCACCAGACTTCTTGTTTGAAGTTTCAAGCAACTTTATTTCTAGGTTAAGAATAGATATGAAGGATTAATGCTCTACCTTCCCCACCGGGTGTGAAACTGCAGAGTTGCAGGAGAAATGGACCCACAAATAAAAAAAAACATAGTATAAGAACAAATACCTTCCTTTCCCAAGACAGGCTTAGCGCCAGTCCAGGAGAGGGAGGACCATGGAATTTCATATTGTTAAAAATGGCAAGTCAGATCTTTAAACAATTTACTTTTTTAACTGAAGAGTAATTATCCTCAGACACCCAGCAAATTATCTTAGAGGTCTATTTTGTGTCGATATGGACAAAGGACAGACTAATGGAAACAATGGGGGTCATAAACAGGCTATTCCAGTGCAAAAGATTTCAGAGGTACAGGGCAAATAGAGAGGGACATGGAAGGTTTGATCACTCCTGCTGCTCTCCTGGGGTGGACCCCTCCCTACCCCTCTGCGGCCAGCCAGAATAAATGCTGATTCATTGTGCTTTGTTTTCATGTGACCAGTCATGGATTGTTTCCAGACTACGCCCAGCTCCTCCTGGGTTTATCCCACTGTGATCCTCTGCTTATTTGGATTCTTCTCCACCATGAGGCCCTCAGAACCCTTCCTCATCCCATATTTAATGGAACCAAGTAAAAACCTTACCAGCGAAGAGGTAAGTGAATGTACACACATGTCGTGCTGCACTTACAACGTATATAGGACAAGGACAAGGGGAGAGTTGGGATTTCCTTCTACTTGAAATAGACAAACACCCCAAGCTCGATCAGCCCCACTTTCGTGGCACCTGTCAGGTAATAAAACTGTTCAAACTACTCCTTCACCCTCACGCTGCAAAATGAGAAACCAAAACACACGCACATGTCACACGTATCTACGATTCTACAGAGCCCCGACACAGCCCTCGTGGGGAGAGCCCCAGTCTCCACCAGTTCTGTCACCCCCGAGCTGACACAAAGTCACTCAGGCACAGCATATCACTGTAATGAACTCTCAGGCCGCTGAGGAGTAAGCAGCATCTGACAGAGAACCGCAGGGGCGCTTTAGGACATCACTAGGTTTTGAAAACGTTTACCAGCAGATAAGACATTGATTGACCTCTAAGCTTTATCTTGCCCAGAAGGTCAAATTCTCTCACTTAAAGCTCTCCCTCTTTTTCTTATAACAAGCACAACAAGAAAATGCACTGACCCAGCAGGAGAATGGCCCCAGCCTGGTTGTAGAACGATAGCTCAGGGAACACTGCAGGGTGTGTGGCTTCAGGAAGGCCTGGTTTATTTGGGGGTGAGTGGTGAGTAAGCGGGAGCTGTTCTGCTATGTTCAGATCATGTAGGGACAATTCTACCTCAGATTCCCAGGGGTCACGTGTCACAATTCAAACGGATATACAGGTTTAGAATCAACCCAGAACCCACGAACCCGCTGGGTTGGTTCTGTGATCATTAGGAATTAGTCAATGTCCCACCCTCAAAAGCCTAGCTCTGTCCTGCTAGACTTTCAGATCACTGAGTGTTCCTCATCATTGGCAACTGAACCAGCCTAGGATGTTATAGAAATTGGGGGGCACAGAACAAGGCAGGTGTCTTGCCTGCAAACATCCTGCCCAAAGACCTACAGCTTCTTCAGTCTTTTCTTTCTATGAATGAACAGGCAGATGCATGCCTTTCTGGCTCAGTCCAGAGAGACCCCTAATAAACAGAAGCCAGTACTAAGGTGAAATCACTGCAGCTGGAGGGAAAGGGGTTTCAGAGAGTGGATTGCCCAGCCCCCCTTGTCCTCAGAATATTGCTTGGCACCCAAAAGTTGCTACTGATTGAGCTAAATGTAGAGTCTGGCAGGGAGCCTCTCACCAGGACAAAGTCTTGGTATGAGGATATCTGCTGAAAACAGCTGACAGACATTATGGTCAGATTAGCATAACCAGCTGGACCACCTTGACAGGAAGTTAAGTGTAAACAGGGACTAGAGAGAGGATGTCTGGGTCAGCAGCAACAATGGAGCCCCCAGGCCACGCCCCTCTTCACTTCCCCCCAGCTTGTGCCAGACAATTATGCATCCCCAGTCCTCCTCCCCCAACACACATTCCTCCACACATTCCTCCACAGACCACAGACTTGCCCACCTCCCCTGAATCTGACCCCCACATAAATGTGAAACTGGGGAAAGAGGGGGCTGGGGGAAAGGCGCTGCATCTCCATAGGCGTGAGCCCCTCTAGGTCTCTTTCTCACTACTTGGACATTGAGTTGTTTTTTCTCCGTCCCACGCCACTCCCAGCACTGCAGCCCAGCCCTACCCTGCAAGGTGACATCAGAGCACAAAAAATTTGAGCATGAGAAAATGAGTTGCATTGTTTCCACACCATAATTCCGCAAGCTGATTTGCTCCTTGACATCATTACATGATGTTCATGCAGACTTTAGGAGGCTGGAAGTCATGAAATTTTTCTAATATTGTAGGTGCTTGATACAATGTTAAGCTTAGAACGACGTGGGAATGGCTGTCATTTGGGAGCCTAAATAACTGGAATATGTCTATGAACAATTTTCAGCTAATGCAAATGTGCGTGCTACTTACTTAATACAGCTCTGACTGCACATTAAGCCAATATTCTACTGCGATGCCTCTAAGTATGGGAAATTTTTTCACGTTGTAAGGGAGAGGCTGTTTTCCTGTCCCAGGGATTTTTTAAAATTATTATGTGCTTTTCTATGATATGACAGACCACCTGTTCAGTCAGATTCAGAACTTGTTACTGGGCCCAAACGTTGGGAGGAGCAAGCATGTCCGAGAGGCGACCCTTCTCCCTTCCCGCGCCTTCACCTCACCTGCCCTGTCTCCACTCCGCAGATCACAAACGAGATCTTCCCGGTGTGGACGTATTCTTACCTGGTGCTGCTGCTCCCGGTCCTCGTCCTCACCGACTACGTGCGCTACAAGCCGGTCATCCTCCTGCAGGGGGTCAGCTTCGTCGCCACCTGGCTGATGCTCTTGTTCGCCCGAGGAGTGGCGGCCATGCAGGCCATGGAGTTCTTCTACGGGGTGGCCACCGCCGCCGAGGTGGCCTACTACGCCTACATCTACAGCGTGGTCAGCCCCGAGCACTACCAGCGGGTCAGCGGCTACTGCAGGGGCGTCACGCTGGCGGCCTACACGGCGGCCTCGGTGCTGGCCCAGCTGCTGGTGTCCCTGGGCCGCCTGCCCTACTTTTACCTCAACGTCATGTCCCTGACCTCGGTCTCCCTGGCCTGCCTGTGCGCCCTGTTTCTCCCCATGCCCGGGAAGAGCTTGTTTTTCCATGCCCAAGGCAGCCTGGAGGTCCCGAAGTGGCCCAGCAGGGAGGCGGTGGAGCAGGAAGCCCCTGGGTGGGAGGCGCCCGGCGGGGATGCAGAGAAGCGGCCCTCGTGGGTGCCCACGGTCTCGGGGCGGCTGGCTGGCGGCCCGGGGGGGCGCGTGCGGGCCCAGGGCGCAGCGAGGCGGTTGTGCGAGCAGTGGCTGCGGGACCTGAGGGAGAGCTTCTCCAGCCGGCGCCTCCTCTACTGGTCCCTGTGGTGGGCATCGTCCACGGCGGGCTACAACCAGGTGGTGAACTACGTTCAGGTCCTGTGGGATGACAAGGCCCCGGCCCAGGCCTCTGTGGTCTACAATGGGGCGGTGGAGGCGCTGGCGACCTTCGGGGGTGAGTGCGCACCTGCATCTTCTTTCAAGGCTGCCCCATTTGCTTAATGGCTCCAGCTGGTAAACGTCTGGGAAATTCAGAAGGAATAGTAACATTTTTTAGGAGTGGAACGCTCTGGAAAATAACATGACTATTAATGTTTTAAAGTAATAATGATAAGTAAGTCAGGAGCTCGGGACTGAGCAGCAGACAAATTCATACCAAATTCCTAGGGTTCCATTGCAGCATCAGGAAGTGAGTTAGGGGTGTCCCACATTCTTCGAGAATTATTCTGAATATCAGAAGGAAAAGACACATTTGTCTATAAGTTTTTATTATTTTAGGTAATGAATTGAACTATGATGACTTTGAAATTATTGCTGGAATATGTACATTAGTAAATGATTTGACTTCGCTTGCCCACCTGTAGCAATTCTGGGGTATACACCAAAAATCTTCCATGAGAATTTTCTTATGAGATTTTAATGAGTGGGAGGTACGTAAGAGTGGGGTTTCTAACGCCAGAGGGAAATCTGCCTTTGCATGTACAATAAATATTTGCATCCTGGTAAAAAGAAACTTAAATTTAGCAGAGACTTTGAAGATATTTTCTGGGAAGTAGGGGAATTCCACACCCTATTTGCAAAAAGCTTCAGAAAACTTGTGCAGCATCTAGCATCTGTTTTACTGCTGCATCCCCTTGGGGAGACCTTGGTTGCTTCCTGGAAATGACTGCGCTGAACCGGGTCGCTGAGATGCTTCCACCTTCATCCCTAATTCCGGGTGGAAGGTTGTTTCCTTTCCTCTGTAGTAATGGTTCTTTCCTAGATCATCTGTGGAAAAGTTCATCCAATCTCAATAATTTGCAAGCATGAATACGTTTCATTCTGCTAAAGAGAACTATAATTACTAACTTTAATCGCTGTTAATTATTCAGTCTCTTAAACGCTGCAAATCAATCTAGGTCTGCTCACCCAACACTTAAAGTAAATTAGGCCAGATTTCGAGGACCTTAAGGAATGAGACCGCATAAGATTATAATTAATGATAGAGACTAAAACTTACTGCCCAACAGATCATATCTGTTACCTGTCATTTAAAAATATGATAAAATTAGACAGGTATGGACAGACCCGGCACATGTGCAGAGCCCGTCTCTGCTACCCCGCGCTCAGCTCCTCCTGTGCAATGACTCTTTGGTGTCTTCCTCCCACTCCTCCCTGGCAGGGATCTTTCCTGGCCCTTTTGCTTAGTACAGTGCTTGGAATGTCTTTGATGCTGATTAAATTTTTGCAACTCACTGATTGAAAGAAAAGCAAAGAGAAAAGCCGAAAGAAAACTGGAGAAAAGGAGAAATTCACATTTAAGCAAATCACACTGTTTTGTGAAAATAATATATAATTCACCTTTCAGAATTACTGGAGACCTGTTTTTTTGTTTGGTTTGGTTTTGTTTAAAGATTTTATTTATTTTTGCGTAGCAGTACTGGGGGTGCAAGGCCAGAGGTGAGGGGGCTGAGTGGATTCACCAGAGGCTGAGTGGGTAGCAGAACAGGAGGATTGTATTAACTGAAACACACTGCTGAGGGGAGCAGTGGGGAGACAGGAGAGGTCTGCTGTGCCCTGTGGGTAGCTCCCTGGCCGGGGATGGTACTCAGGCCGCAGTTGGTGATAGCACTGAGACTTACCCCCTAGCCCACCAGGGAGGCCCAACCTGAGTTTTAAAGGAGTGTGTTGACATCTCCCGTTCACATCTCAGTACATTCCATCCTCCTGTCTGTTTCTCAGGGGCTGTGGCCGCCTTGGCAGTGGGTCATGTGCATGTCAACTGGGATCTTCTGGGGGAGCTGGCGCTGGCCATCTTCTCGGTTGTAAACGCAGCCTCTCTATTCCTCATGCATCACACCACCAACATCTGGGTGTGCTACGCTGGCTATCTGATCTTCAAGTCCAGCTACATGCTTCTAATAACCATAGCCGTGTAAGTATTCCAGCACTTCCTTCCCTCCTAAGACTAAATCACTTTCTCTTTTCTGATTCCTATAGTTCCTTTGAAAACTTCTGAAGGATTTTAATGAATTGCAATATTACATGTTGACTACTCCCATCAAATTAGATACAGTTAAACCATCTCTGGATCAGCAATTAGTCTTCTGAGTCTTGCTAAGATTTGCCATCAAGGAAAGCTTGCTGTACAGGCCCATAAATCAGGAGCAACAAGCCATTGTCAGGCTAGGACAATTTTTTTGGAGTAACTTGCCTTCACATGGTGATGTGGTATGACCTGAATTGGCTTAAGTTTACCTTTCATCCCTGATTTTACACAATTGCTTGAGTTATTCCAGGCACATACATTTGAGTGAAATAAAATCTTCTCAGCAAGTTATTAACAGTAGGATACTGAAAAAACTGGATGTAACGATCACCAAAATAAAGAAACTAAATACCAGAGATCATTTTTTAAAACCACAAACATTTTGGTTCCATTTACAAATGTAGGCAAAGCTGACTATAGAAAATGTGCTTTGATGTTTACCCCCCCCCCAAAAAAAAAGAAACATTGGGATTTCAAATCACATGGGAGAAGTAGACAAAAGCTTTGTAAATTTTGGTTTTTAATTTGTGATAATATTTGCTACACAGTAGATAAAACATAAAATGTAAGTACTTGGGAGGAAATCATAAAGAAAAGAAACAGGATAAAACTTGTTGGCAGGTTTGTCAGTTTAATCGAAATGTGTCAGTTTAATGAATCAAACTTATATGTGTTGAGTTTTTTAAATGTGAGGATTTTGTTAAGGTAGGATTATGTTATCACTTTCTATTTTAAGATATCAAGAACCCAGTCTTTTACCGTTTTACCGAAGAAGGACCCTAACTTCCAAAAGCTGTCAGGATTCATAGTGTTTTGTAATCGGATTTCAGTGTCTTTGTAATTATTAAAAATAAGTTAATTACAAATTCATTCAGCTGTACAACCTATCTCTGGATTTTACAAAAAACAATTCACCTACCAAAATTAGAAACTATCAAAACAAATGGTAATATAAAAAATAGCTCTTCAAAAATTCCTCATTTTGGATATTGCTTGCATTTTCCTAAAAAAATTTACTGTGAAACAGAATCTATGATCAGATATCATCCAATGTTCTCAGGTTATGAGAACCTAGAACACTTAGCTTTAATCTCTGGAAATATTAAATTGGAGAGGAGGAATATTGCCATATTTCCTTTAAACATATTTTACTTCAATATTTAATTGTATTTTTTTGCTCCTTCTCTTGCTCTGTTTTTTGTCTATACTGGAGTGATTGAGGCAAAGAGCTCTGATGATAAGAAACACTTTCTCTTCAGCTTCAGTCTATTAAGGATAAGAATCCATGTGTGTTCTTGTCAAAGTGCATTGATGTCTCCCGGTAGCTTTCAGATTGCAGTTAACCTGAGCGTGGAACGCTACGCCCTCGTGTTTGGAATCAACACCTTCATCGCCCTGGTGATTCAGACCATCCTAACTGTGATCGTGGTGGATCCCAAAGGACTCAACCTGCCAGTCAGAATCCAGGTGAGCTGCCAAACCTTTGGATTCCTACCCATGTCACTGTGGGACTGTGGAGTGGCCAGGTAATCTTCAGCTGTTCTTCAGCCTTGCCACTGCCAGTAATTAGATGCCTTCAACTCTTGGACTGGGCAGATCTAAAAATAAGCACTTCCTCTTATCAACACAGCAAGTAAGTTTTGACAATTTCATGACAGGTCAGCACTTACCTTTGGCTCCCACAATGTCATCAGCTGCCATGCTCACCTTGGTGTCCCCGTGTCTCCTCTCCCTGCACTCAGGTCCCACGCTCACTGCCATTTAATTGGGCTAGGGTGGGGTTCACGATGCAGAACTCTTGTCCCCTTATGCCTGCTCCATGAAGAACATAAAATTAGCCCAGTTAGAATTTCACATACTATGTTTGGATCTGAAAAAAGGGGAGATGAGGCAGCTATGAAATATCCTCAATGTGGAAAATCAGTTGTGGAGCCCTCACACACAGCACTGCACTGTGCTCCAACATGAACACTGAATCAATGGGTTTGTTGTTTTCACTGTGGGTGATGTCAGCTAAGTTTGAATCCAAGCAGCCCTGGCTCCAGAGCCCATACTTATCTTGTTCCTGCATCTCTCACATGTTCTTGCCTGAGTCATCTGAGATGAGAAAAGAAGGAATTGTAGGAATCTAAATGACCCTCATTAACATGCAGGGTCTCAGTTACCCCATGATCCAAGCAAATCAACAGCATCACCGTACACTGTCAGTGACATAGATGATCAGATTTTATGTGAGTCTAATTAATTTAATTCTGTGTTTTCTCCAGTTTTTAGTTTATGGTAGTTATTTTGCCGTCATTGCTGGGATTTTCCTAATGAGAAGCATATACATTATCTGCTCAGTCAAATGCCAGAGGAATGTGCAGCTCTCAGCTCCAAATCAAAATCCATATGGGCCACCACCAGAGATACCAGGGAATGTCACCGCTGGAATATGGCTCTAATTGATGTCACCTGCTACTGCCGCCAAGGAAGGTCTGTGCTGTTTGCAAAGTCACTGAGTATCATGAATCCACACACTTCACAGGGAACTTGTGAGCCCACTTCCAAGAACCTACTCAAAACCGCAACAAATCCAGTGGCGGACTGGACATCCATGCGCCCAGGTGGAGGGGATATAGTCAGTGGGGCCTGTCATATCAATTAAATAATCATGTCAGGCCCTCAGTGGATGGCAGTGACTGGACCATCGTTGCTTTGAGCATGTGTGGACGTGACAATGGCATAAAGTCAAACCACGAGACACGTCCCGCCATCCTGGAGTTGGTGCCCAGACTTGGCCTGTTTCCTGGCTTGTGTGTTTATTTTACCAAACACTGCGTGGGAGACTTGTTGCCACATTTTTCTTCCTCTTTCATTAAGTATATTTCTGTATATTGTAGAGTTCTCTGAGAGAATTGCAAGGTTTAGTCCCATTTCTGAGGACAGCTCTGTTAGCTGGCTGTATTCACAAGCTACTGTTTAATAATATCACCACTTTATTTTTTCATGGTTACTTTCTTTTTGTGCTCTGTTGAGCTTTGTCATTGTAACTCTACCTCAGGAATAGTTCCAGACATGTCTGTGTGTCCTCAGAAGAACATTCAGGTCAACTACCCGGGGCCCCACAGAAGCCCATGAGCTTTCCCCCCACATGACCCCAGGTATACATTTTGGTGCTAAGTCAGTGTGATGTCTGTCTAAGAGACAGAGAGTTCTATACATATTTGTCCAGAGAGTTCTATACGTATTTATAAATAAGAAAACATTGATGTGTGGGCGTACTCCTAATTTTTAAATGGTAGAGATTCTGCTAAATAAAATAATGTTTGTAAAAATATTAAAGAGTCTTTCTACTTTTTTCATGGATTGGCTGAAAATTGTCTGAGCTTATCTTCCTTTGAAACTTCAGTCATAGATGCATTGAGTAGTCTGCCACTGGGAATAAAGAATGCTGAGTAAGATTTGTGCTTCAAACATACTTTTCTCCAAATCCCAAAATTCAGCCTTTGGACTGAAAACAAAGTACAGCCCAAAAGTCAACACACTTAGTGGAGAAAATTAGTAATATTCATACAGACATCAGAAGCAAGGAAAGGATGACTGCTATCCTGCCTTAACTTTCAGTCTAGAGTTACTAGCCAAACCAATGAGACAGACAAGTGAAAAGAATGAGAAGTCTACAATTGGAAAGGAAGAGGTAAAATCATCACCCTTCCAGAGGCTGTATCTATATATTCAAGAGTCAACTAAAAACTGAGATAGTGGCATAAAAATTTGTATATAGGGGCCTTCCTGGTGGTACAGCGGGTTGAGCGCAGCACTGTGAAGCTGTTTGCAGCCTCTGCAGCATGGGTTCCATTCCTGGCCAGCCAGGGAGATACCCACATGGCACAGCAGACCTCTCCTGTCTCTCCCGCTGCTCCCCTCAGCAGTGTCTTCAGTCCACCTGCTTGTTCTGCTCCCCACTCTGTCTGGTGAATTCTCTCACCCTCCCATGCCTCTGGCCTGTACCCCAGTTCTTGTATAAATAAATAAATCTTTTTTTAAAAAATTGTATATAGACCAATAGTTTTCACAATACAACATTTATTTTGAAAACATGGGTATAAGAGGCCACATCTATAGTAGAACAAAAATAATAAGATTCTAAAAAAATTTTACCTAGTAATTTAATAAATATATTATATATGAATAAGCTTGAAAACACTTTTGAAGATTACAAAATTATACCTAAACATATGTAAAAATAATAATAAAAACTACCTTGTGCTTGGTTAGGAAGAAAAATTATATAAAGATATCAGGTCCCCTAAATAAAATGATAAGTTAAATCCTAGCCAGATAAAAAAAACACAACACTCTATTTCAGAACTAGTAAAGATGCTTACAAATTTCCTTTGGAAAATTAACAAAGAAAATACCTTTTAAGTGGAAAACTCAGGTTTTCATGGAGAATAAAATCCTACTGTAAGTTCTTAATTAACAGTAACACTCAGAACATGAATGAGAATCCAAAGTAACACGTAGAAATTCTGAATTAGTCCCTAATTCATGTGGGATTTAGACCATGAAAAATGTAATATGCCATAGGGGAAAAAAGATGTGATATTCAATAAGTAAGATCGAAGTAATTTTTTTCAAAGAAAAAATAATAACTTGGACCTAAGAGGGCTGGAATGACTCTACTAATCTGTAATATATAGCCAGTTGTGGGAAAAAATGAAACTGCAAAAGTACTAAAGAAAGCATGTAAAAAATTTTTTATAAATACACCTTTCTAAAGTAACATAAAACCTAAAAGTCCCCCCAAAATAAATAAAAGCAAACTTATGCATTGCAGAACTGCAATAAACAAAGCCAAAGAACAAAAGATCATCCGAGGGAAATTATTGCAATTTCAAAGTTACTTTCCCAAACTGATAAAGAACCAACACAAATTGATAAGAAAAAGTCAGTAGCCTGATTAAAAAAAAATGGGCAAAGGATATGAACAGAAAATTCAGAGAAATACAAATGACTCAGACTTATAAAAGATGCTTAAGTTAACTCAGAGCAATATAAATTAAAGATACAATGAGATATGATTTTTCACTTGTCAGACTAGGGAGTAGTCCAGTGTGACAATACACTTCATTTTCTGAGAAAGTGTCAACAGGCAACCTCAAAACTTGTCGGTGTGAGTGTAAATTAATTCCATTGCTACAAAAGAAAATTCATCATTTTCAAAATTATAAATATATGTATCTTTCTACCTATATAGCTTTCTCTATTAGATGTATATACTCCCGTGATATTTGCGTGCCTGGAAATAGAGTTGTATAAAGGGTTTTTCATTATAGTACTGTTTCTAAGAATAAAGGGTTGGAAGCAATTTACGTTTTGTTGACTAGATACAGGGAAATATAATCCAATAATATATTCACCTATAATATCAATTAGTAAAAAAATAAGGAAGATCTTTACAAAGTCATATAGAAAGAGCTCTAAAATATACTATTAAATGGAATAAAAGTCAAAAGTCAAAGTAATAATAAATGTAAAAACTCACCTTTTGTGTAAAGGTAAAGAGAAACATATATATATATAAATACTAGTATATATATATATATATATATATATTTAACTTTCTTGGAATGACAAGCACAACTAGTAACAGTGATTACCTGCTGTGAAATGATGACAAAGGGAAAATGCCACTTTTTATGAACTTTGATGTTTGCACCCTAGAAAATTACCTACCCACTTTTTAAAATTAAAATTAGCATTTTAATGCTAATTAAATTTGATTTAATGCTAATTAAAATTAACATTTTAATTTTTAAAAGTGATCTCTCATGAAATAAATTAACATTGAAGAATATAGAGCTGGGGATATTTTTTATGTAACCATCCTGATGCTTTCCCATCTTTGCAACATGCACAAATAACTAAATGTTCATTTGCAATAAAAATAAACAACAGAAGAAAAATTAAGTCAATGTGGATGTGAACAATTTAGTTGAATGGTTATAGAAAAAGACTCCTTCTTGTCTTAAAGCTCCTCACATTAAAACCAACCGCTTTAGGTTGTCAGTTGATTATCAATCCCAACTATAATTTCTCAATTAGAAAAGTGGATCATAGACATTCAGAAATTGGTCTAAGGCTCAGCAGGAAGGAAATAGTGAAGGTGCAATGTCTGACCATGAAAGCTGTGGTCTTCCTTCCTACCTTCAACTATAAAATGAGTCACATCATTTATGAACCCCAAGTAAATTCTAGTACTGGGTGCGGGGTCCAACAATTTTTTTAATTTCAGTCTATGTTACCTTAGCAGGGCTTACTAGTGAGTGAATCTGAACTGTCTGACTCCTTTAGAACATTAACTGAAGAATAACATTCTCCGGTTTCTTCAGGCTCTAATTCTTTAACAAATTTAAGTTGATGCTAATTTGTTCCCCATCAAATTTTGTTATCATGTAAATCCAAAATACTATAATCTGACTCAGCACAAGCGCTTCTGCCTGATCAAGTTCTCTGAGTATGACAACTTGTGTTCAAGTGTTTGACATCTAGTGTTCAGTAGAGACTTAGTGGTGATGGGTGGGGGGTAGATTTTAAGGAAGTCTTGCCCATCAGAAATTCATCTCCGGGATGAAATATGCCTCCTGGCTCTCATTTGACACAGGATCAGTGGCATCTGAGATTTGTTTTAAAAATGTCTTCTGAAATTGACAGCAGTACATAGGACTTCTCCCTGAGATCAGATTTCTACTGTATTAGAAATTCTTTTAAATGTCATAATAGACTCAAGAATTCCATTTCAGTGATATTAACAACATAATATATGCTGCAGATGTAAACATTCTCATCTTTGCCTTATGACTTCAGTTTCCTTTTTGATTTCTGACAATTTTATATTAATATCTCATAAAAGATTCAAATGGGTGAAACCACTTTTCATTTATATCTACAGTTCATTCCAGCTTCCCCTAGAAGTGTTTATGAAAGTCTTTCCTTTCTTAAATAATTTATTTAGTTGTCTTCATCATTTGAGGTTTATATGTTTTATTGCCTCTTAGAAATTTGATTAAGGCTTAAGAGAAAGAAAGTTAGAAGGGAAATGAAAGTCATATTGGCATGTTTAATATTTCGTGCAAACACTTTGAGAGAAAGAAGGAACTGATATTTAAAGTAGAATGAAAATTGTCTTACATTCCCCCGAGTTGCTCCTACCACAGTTACACAGAAAGTCAAAACGGGCACTTTTTATTCCTGAATAGTCACAGGAGTGGCCAAATAGTACACAAAGGAGACAAAAAGTTGCAAAGGAGACAAAAAGCTTACTTTGAAGGTGAAATCATTTCTGATGTTAAAAAAATGCACCTGCTCTGAATATCTGTATATTTATACATACACATAATATTAAAGAGGTGAAACACTAAGCCACATTTTTTTTTTTTTTATGAGACATAATGGCTAAATTGGCAAGATTTCACTCAGGACCCTGCTGGCCATTTTAGTGAGTCAGACAAAGTTCTATATTAAGCAACTTAGTCAAGATGGACCTCCCCATAAGGCCTCACATGGTGCCATTCCATCCTCAGGGCCCGCTGGGTAAGACAAAAGCCCTAATCCTGTTTGGGTAACTCGTAAGGGACACCAGGCCTCCTCTCAGCTCCTGCAGCTCTCAGACACGTGGCATTTGAGTAACAGACCTTGTAGTTTTCTTTACTGTGAACACGACTGATTTTAAGAACTTGGAAAAATAAGTTCTGTACAGGAATTGCAAAGGCCACAATCATGCTGCTTCCAGATGGCTGGGTTTCCCCTCAAAGCCAGCCTCACTCAGATCTTGTCCAAACACAAGCAGTCACTGGTGAGAGATGTGGACACTCACCCAGAGTAAGTGAGGATGCGACATGCACACTAGACAGAATCTGTCAGGTGGGCCAACTGGCTTTTTGAAACATCCACTTGGTCCAATTCTCATCTAGAAGGAATAATGCTTATTTCAGCAATCTGATAGGTGTGACTGATACGTATATGGTGGCTGATATGTATGATTGGTTCACTGGCATTTTTGTAGTAAAATGTCTCCCTTCTGGGGCTGTAAACATCAAAATACCTAAAACATACAAAATATGTCCTTTTATGAGAGCCAATTAAAATAATTTGTACTAGTTTATTCTTACATCCTTTCAAAAGACAGAACTATAAAAATCTTTCTAAATTACAGAGTCACTACTATTCATTTTCCCCTTGTTTTGATGATTACTAATAGGATTTGAAAATTA